CGTTCATGCCAGACTGGGGAGAGAGGTGTTGTAATATTGTAAAATATGTGAAAAATAATGTGTTTTTCGAACAACCTAGAATGAGAGCCTGTTCTAGTACACCCCCAAAACAAAATCAAGACTTTGTAAAAGAGCATAATAGGACCCCTTTAACTGACAGCCCTACTTTGACATGCTCAACTCGTTTGTGTCCTCACTGAAATCATACTGCATGTTAGGTGTGTTTTGCGTGTGTGGACGGAGAGGAGTTCAGGTTAGCGCAGATCTCTGGCCTTCACATCGTCACTCATGCTGATGAACTGGAGGAGCTCATTCACTACTATCAGGTACACAGCCCTCTTCCTCTCAGTCTCTGGATGAGCTCAGGGCAGGTGTTTGACGTCTTCTCTGCCGGTCTCAGGACCGTGGGTATTTCGAGGAGCTGATGGTGCTGCTGGAGGCGGCGTTAGGGCTGGAGCGCGCTCACATGGGCATGTTCACCGAGCTGGCCATCCTCTACTCCAAATACAAACCTCAGAGGATGAGGGAACATCTGGAGCTCTTCTGGTCTCGGGTCAACATCCCTAAGGTATGACTCTCGCTGACGTGTTCCTTAAAAATGTGGGATGAAAAAAATCAAAAATGTTATTTTTCTGCATTCCGAAAGCTGCATCCTTTTACTGAGGACATTTCTGTATTTTCTTTTGCATTTCCTGTGTTTTTTTGTTTCTTTTTTTTGTGTGTTAATGTTGCACTTGGGTAGCGTTTGAATGTTACATTTTGGTTTGATTATTTATCATATCTACACCATTTAAAATTTTGGGGTCAGTGAACTATGTTTTTAACAGTGTCTCTCTTTTGATCACCAAGGCTGCATTTAATCGATTAAAAATACAGTAAAAACTGTAAAATTGTGAAATATTTTTACAATTTAAAATACGTGTTTCCTATGTGAATATATAGTAAAGTGTAATTTATTTCTGTGATCAAAGCTGTATTTTCAGCATCATTACTCCAGTCTTCAGTGTCACATGATCTTCAGAAATCATTCTAATATGCTGATTTGCTGCTCAAGAAACATTTCTGATTATTATCAATGTTGAAAACAGTTGTGCTGCTTCATATTTTTATAGAAACTGTGATGCATTTTATTTTTCAGGATTCTTTGATGAACAGACAGTTCAAAAGAACAGCATTTATTTGAAATAGAAATCTTTTGTGACAATATAAATGTCTTTAATGCCACTTTTGATCAATTTAGTGCATCCTTGATGATTAAAAGTATTACTTTCTAAAAAGTTTTGAACGGTAGTGTATTTAGATATCTAATTTTTAATTTTCTCTTGTTTTATGTTAATATGAATTCACTGCAGTAAATTCTGTGCGATTCGTGTTCGCTTCATGATGGTTGAGCAATGAGGTCATGATTTGTGTATGTTAGGTTGGTTGTGTTTATGATTTGCTGTGTTGTGATTGGTCAGGTGTTACGAGCGGCTGAACAGGCCCATCTGTGGGCGGAGCTTGTTCTCCTGTATGATAAATACGAGGAGTATGACAACGCCATCATGACGATGATGACACGCCCCAGCGACGCCTGGAGAGACGCGTCCTTCAAAGAGCTCATCAGCAAGGTCACGTCACTCTTCTTTCATTGAAGTATCTACTTTGTCTCAAACGTTTCTCTGAGTAAACTTTGAGACGTTGTAGAGATCTCTTCTGAGATTTCATTCGGATTGATGATGTTTATTGTTCTTCTGTCCGTTCGTCTCATGAAGGTGGCGAATGTGGAGCTGTATTATAAATCTCTGCAGTTTTATTTGGACTATAAGCCGCTGCTGCTCAACGATCTGCTGTCTGTTCTCGCTCCTCGACTGGATCACAGCAGAGCCGTCAGCTACTTCAGCAGGGTACGCCAACATTAACACTTACAATGACTATATACAGTATATATA